TATAATGATGGTATCTACCTCATCTGACTGTCAGAGAATTACATAACATGTATACTTAGCAGTATGTCTAACATACATAAGTGCTCAATACATGTTAACTATTAGTGACACTATTAAATGAGGAACCTTTTCTTATCTCAGTTAAATTTCTGATTGCCCATAGCCTGCAGAGATAGTCTTTTATCTTGGCTCTGTGGCCTTCAGTATTAGAACTTCCTTTTAGATTTGCGTTATCATCCCCGATAAGCATGCTTGCTCCTCCCTCAGTCACAAAGTTAGACAAGGTCAAGCTGCGGCTTTGGCACCAATGAAGACAGCCCTGTCTGTGAAAAGAACTTCATATGGGAGACCCTAGCTCTACGTGTGACGTGCTGAGAGAAAGGGGAAAAAATACAAAGGTTCTTGGCATATGGAGTTCACAGTCTAACGGACTCTTTCACAAATGAGGGAAAAAATAGTGTCACTGCAATGGTCCAAGGCCCAAACTATGACAACTTAGTTAAGTGGATAAATGAGATAAAGGATAGTAACCTCCCCCCCCCCCAATCTTATTGAGTAATTAACAACTGAGGCTCAGGCCATTTTAAGGGTCTGTTCAGGCTCATACAACTAATAAAGCGCAGAGCAGAGCGAGGCCAGGAACCCAGAACTTCTAACTCCAAACCCTACACTCTCTCCCCTTAAACACTTCCTGCTATGGGTATGGAAACCAAAATGAAAAGAGCTTCCTATGAACTGCAGTGGGCACACCACTGGCCTACAGCTCACATGCTCCATCTCAGAACCTGAAGAGGCCCAGGAGGGGGACAACTAAATGATGAAGAAATCTCGGGCCTTTAATGACAGAAAAGCTAATTCATTAGAATAAACAAGAAGAAAAAACGCCCTGGCCAGGTGGCTCAGTTGGTTGGAGCGTCCTCTCACGCACCAAAGGGTGGGAGCGGGATTTCCAGTCAGGGCTCATGCCCAGGTTGCAGGTTTACTCCCTGGCTGGGGCATGTGTGGGAGGCAACCCGATGGATGCTTCTGTCTCACACTGATGTTTCTCTGAGACTCTCCCTCTCTCTCTCCCTTCCGAATCAATGAAAAATGTATCCTCCAGTGAAGTTTTTTTTTTTAAATACAGAAAGAAAACTCACAACTCTTCGGCCTAGAAATGTTACAGCTCAGAAAAAAGAAAACAAATGCCATTAAATCCAGATCAACAGGCATTGTTTGCTATAACCTAGTTGGCACCTTTCACACTCCTGTTAAAAGTCAGTCTTCACAGAGCAGAAACGGATCAAACTCTGTGCTTCTATGAAGCAGTGCCAGCCAGAGAAGTCAGGCAGGCAGTCTTCATATCAGGGAGTTCCTGGAAAATATTATAAATTGATCATGAGGAACTATGTTTTCCCACTGTTCCCTCTTCCCAGCAGTATGATGAAGGGCCTGAACCAAGGGAGTATTTGTCAGACCATAAACACAGCCAGCACTGTTAAATCCAGCATGACTTTAAAACTACATATTCATAAAAAACAAAAGGGTCTATCTGGACCACACCCTGGATCTACGAGATCTCCATTTACTATAAGATGTATATGCAAATACACATAATTTGTATATATCCAATACCAGAAGTTAAATTCTATTATAAACTTCTCTTTAAATAAATTTAACTTTGCCTGCCTTTAGAATTTAGAGGGTTTTTATTGGTTATGAGTGAGCCAAATCTTAAAAAAAAAAAAAAAAAAAGGCTGTTCACATAGGTTGCTGCATTTTCTATTATCTGAGCTCCACTTATTTATAAAATTCATTTGTATTGGTGAAAAATTCTTAAAGGAGCAGCTGACCATGAATTTGGAATGGCAATGATTGGGTTGTGGTGGCCTGTATTTCCAATTTGTATTGAGCATCACCTAAAGTACTTTTATGCATATTTCACTGTAAGATGAGTAAGTCAGATATTATCTTTCTCACTGTATACAAAAGGAACCTACTGTTAAAAGTTCCCTTAAATTACCTGCAAATCTAAATTAAATAGGCCTTGTTACCATTCACAGGTTTGTTTCCTAAAATCTTAGGCACAAAATAATCTATAATACTGACATCCACATTAGCTTTCAGAGGAGAGGGAGGAAAAGAGACAACTTCACATAAATTCCCAAGTGACCTTTCAAAATTAAGATTTTGCCTGGCTGGTGTGGCTCAGTGGTTGAGCGTCGACCCATGCACCAAGAGGTCACCAGTTTGATTCCCGGTCAGGGCACATGCCCAGGTTGTGGGCTCAATCCCTGGGGGGAGGGGGGGCATGCAGGAGGCAGCCAATCAATGTTCTCTCTCATCGATGCTTCTAGCTCTCTCACCCTCTCTAAAATCAATAATAAAATTTTAAAGGACTTCAATTTTGTAACAAATGTGTTTATAGTATTATAAGAAAAGTATTTACAGGGGAGAAAAAAAAGCTTTGTTATACTGTAAAGTTAGGTAAACTTAGGTGTTAAATTGGCAATGAGTGAGGAACATACACAGCCCAGTATCATATATTTGTAACAGTACACACACAAGTTATCCTTGGTATAACTTACTGGGTTCTGTGATAAGGGTCTGAAATGCTTCTAGATCAGCAATTTTCAACTGGTGTGCTGCAAGAATTTTTAAAAAATGCAACATCTGACTATTTAGTCAGGATTACTAATCTCTTTTCCCATAGACTGTCAAATAAAAAAATGACAACAGTCAATACAACAGCCATCCAGTGTGAATGAATCAAAATTATACTTATTGTTCTGTCAGACTGGTAAAAAATCTATTTTGCTGGTGTGGCGCAGAATCCTAGTTACTTAGTTTCTGTGTGCCATGGGGTGAGGCTGAATCTTAAATTCTCTAGACCTTTAGAGGGCAAAGGGATACTGCACCACTGTTGTCAAAATTTAGCAGGAAATAAATGTTAATGTGTTTAGTTTCTATCTAAACTTTCTATTCGACAGCTTCTAAATTTGTTTTAACCTGTGTCAATTCTATTTATTTATTTATTTATTTTTATCCTCACCCGAGGACATTTTTCCAATTTTTGTACAGATAGAGTGGAAGGGAGAGAGAGAGAGAGAGAAACATCGACGTGAAAGGGACACATCGAGTGGCTGCCACCCACACGACCAACCAGGACCAGGGACAAACTGCAACTGAAGTACATGCCCTTAGCGGGAACCGAACCCGGGTCTCTCCGGACCGCAGGCCAATGCTCTAACCGCTGAGCCAAACCGGCCAGGGCTAACCTGTGTCAATTCTAAAAAGATTAAGGCAAAATGCCTTTTTCTGTTAAATCTCAAAATAAAGCTTTTAGAAAAGATCTAAATGGAACTTCTATACGCAAATTTGTTTAAAAGTCTGAAGATCACAAAACTACTACTGTCAACTATAAAATTCATAGTTATTCTACGTAGATGAACACATAACTTCACAGTTATTCTAGGTAGATTAAACATAGTCTCCTTTCTATTATTGTTTTTTTTTAAATCCTCACCTGAGGATATTTTTCCATTTATTTTCAGATAGAATGGGGGGGGGGAGAGGGAGGGAGAGGGAGAGAGAGAGAGAGAGAGAGAGAGAGAGAAACATCATTGTGAGAGACATACATTGATTCGTTGTCTCCCGTACAACCCCGACCAGGGCCGGGGACCAAACCGCAACCGAGGCATGTGTCCTTGACTGGAATCGAATCTGCTACTCTTTGGTCCGTGGGCTGATACTCTAACCGCTGAGCCAAATCAACCAGGGCTATTCTCCCTTCTTTTAAAGATGAAAATAATCACTGTTATCAGTTTTCTATTATAAAATATGCCCTGGCTGATTTGGTTCAGTGGTTGGAGCACTGGTCTGCGGACCAGAGAGTCCTGGGTTCGGTTCCCGCTAGGGGCATGTACCAAAAAAACAAAAACAAAAAACAAAACCAAACGAAAAATAGCTGTGAACATCATAACAAGTGTAATAGAGTCTCTTAATTCCATGTTTCATCCTTACATCTTACCTGCCTATGTGTGAGATATATTATTTTCCAAATAAAGGGGGGGTGGAAAAAACAGATCCACTGGGAGAAAGAATGTTTAATAAATGGTCTTGAAACAAATAGCTATCTGTTTAGAATAAAAATAAAATTAGATCCTTAAACCTTGCACCATATAGAAAAATACATATATTACTGATGGATTCAATATTAAAAAATAAAAATGCAAGTACCCAAAATTCTACATACAATTTTAGGGGGTTCAAAGACTCCCTAAAGCCCATCCATGGATCTCAGATTATCTAAAAGAGAAACTGTTAATCATAACTTCTATTAAAACCTCAATCCCAAATACCAGACATGTTTTCAAGATCTAGTCACATGCAGCCAATGAAGATGAACACATTAACTCATTGTTGTAGCTTTATAAAATCTCCAAACTGGAACTAGAAACAGAGGCATGTCAATACAAATGGACAATGACTTAAAAAAAATACACGAATTTAAATAAGTTTGAGTGCATTCTGTACAAGTGTACCCATATGTCTGTTAGCCTTTCAGAAATATAAAATCAGCTAAATCTGTAGTACTTAAAATTTAATATGTGTATGTTATTCTCAAACTTGATTAAAATACTTAATAAATACAAGTTATGTTTATTATGAATAACTGCAACATACTTAAACATCTAAACATTTAATAGTAATTCTATAATATTAAAATGCAATACTTTCACCTGCATTAATCTCATACACAATGGAAAAATACTTGCAGATAATTAGCATTAAGAATGCAAATATATTTTCACTGTGGAAGAAAAATAATAAGATTAGAAATGATATATTTGAGTAATCTACAAAGAAGATGTAGATAGTCTACGTTATGACATTCTATTTTAAAATGAAAACAATTCAATATGTAAGTTTACAACAAATTTACTCAAGGCAAAATATTTATTACAGAACAGGATCTTAAGTCAAAGTAAGCAAGGCAACATTAGAGCAACCATTTTAGATTTTTAAAATGAAGTATAGCTTTAAAATTGTAATAAATGTGAACATAAATTCTAACATGCTCTTCTCTTCTTATAAATGGGATGATGTAGAAAAGCAAAGCTTCAATGTGTAGGGATTGGAACCATCTGTAAAAATTAAAAAACAAAGTTAATAGTTTACTTCTTTAAATTTTCAAGATTACCTTGAATTAGCAGAGTAAATTATTTTACCTTTGCATAGTATTAGTAGCAGGAATATAAAAAAGGGAAATTTCTAAGTAAGGTTAAGGGGAAGATTACTTTTGTTCATATCTACCAGTAGGTAAGCTCCATGAAGCCAGAGACTTTGCCTATTGCTAAATTCCTACTATTCTAACAAAGCACTTTGGGTTTGTTTTTTGTTAGTGAATTAATCATTATAAATAAATAGTATCAAGATTAGGCCTATGTCCATGAGCAAAAGCTCACTTTGCAGAAAATACTACCAATGGTAATTCCTCTACAAAAACCAATTCAAATATAGTGTGAGAAGTGGGACAAGACTGCAGTGCACAGGAAGATATCAATAAGCTGAAAAAAATTCAAGGAGATCTAGTATTAAATCTCTGATCAATAGGGCATGTAAATTCTAAAATTATTATTTTTTTAATTGGGTATAATCCACAAAAATACTTCCATTTCTGCATCTTTTAAAAAGCTTTTCACAGCTCCAGGAAGGAGCAAGCTGGCCACCATCCTGTGTGGCCGCGTCTCAGCAAAAACTGAGCTTCCTACAAATCCTGGGTGTCCCCACTGAGTTCCAGTCCAGTCTGCCCTTCCTCCCTCAGCTGGAGCCCAAGAAATAATTTGGCAAGCTCCAAAACCCACTGAGATAGACAAAATGGTGAAATGAAGAAACAAATCCCAAATGAAAGAACAAGAGACCTCTATCGAAGATAAGATAAATGAAATGCAGTTAAGCAAGTTATCAGAGGTAGAATTCAGAGCCATGATCTTGAGGAAGCTTGACAGCATGAGTAAGGACATCAACACCATAAATAAAGAGACATAAAAACATTGAAAATCAACCAACTGGAAATGAAAAACCCCCAAGAAGAAATGAAGAATAACATAGCAGAAATAAAGAACACATTCAAAGGACTAAACAGCAGACTAGAAGAAGCTAAGGACCAGATCAGTGAATTAGAAGACAAGGGAGAAAAAAAATCAACCAATCAGAACACCAAAAGGAAAAAACAACTAAAAAACAGGAAGACAGCTTAAGAGAACTGTAGGACAACTGGAAACGTAATAATATTCGCATCATAGGAGTCTCCAAAGAAGAAGTGAGCAAGGATTAGAGAATATATTTGAAGAAATAGTGACAGAAAACTTCCCTAATTTGGTGAAGGAAGAAGGCATTCAAGTTCAAGAAGCACAGGGAGTCCCAAGTAAGAAGAACCCAAACAGACCCACACCAAGACACATAGTAATTAAAATGCCAAAAATTAAAGACAAAGAGAGGATCCTAAAGGCAGTAAGAGATAAGCAACAGGTTACCTACAAAGGAACCCCTGTAAGGCTATCAGCTAACGTCTCAACAGAAACACGACAGGCCAGAAGGGAATGGCATGAAGTAATCAAGGTCATCAAAAACAAGGATCTGAATCCAAGATTACTCTAGCCAGCAAGGCTATCATTCAAAATAGAAGGTCAAATAAAGAGCTTCCCAGACAAAAAAAAAAACTAAGAGAATACCTTAGCACCAAACCAGCACTGCAAGAAACATTAAAAGGACTCTGTAATTAGTAGAAGAAATAGGAAGAAAAATAGAACCACAATAAACAAAAATGGCAATAAATAAGTACATATCATTAATTACCTTAAATGTAAATGGATTGAATGCTCCAATAAAAAGACACCAAGCAGCTGACTGAATAAGAAAGCAAGCCTCATATATATGTTGTTAACAAGACACCCACCTCACAACAAAAGACTCACATAGGTTGAAAGTGAAGGGATGGAAAAAATTTTTCCAAGCAAACAGAAAGGAAAAAAAAGCTGGGGTAGCAATACTCACATCTGATAAAATAGTTATCAAAATGAAGGCCATAACTAGAGACAAAGAAGGCCACTAAATAATATTGAAAGAATCTATCCAACAGGAAGATATACCCTTGGTAAACATATATGCACCCAATATGGGAGCACCAAAATATATTAAAAACCTTCTGGAGGACTGCAAAGGAGAAATCAACAGCAATACAATCATAGCAGGGGACTTCAACACCCTGCTAACATCACCGGATAGATCCTCTAGACAAAAAATTAACAAGGAAACAGAGACTCTAAATGAAGCACTAGACCAAATGGATTTAATAGATATCTACAGAGAATTACACCCCAAAATTGCAGAATTTACATTCTTCTCAAGTGCACATGGGACAGTCTCAAAGATAGACTACATGCTAGGACACAAACTAAGTCTCTACAAGTTCAAGAAGATTGAAATCATATCAAGCATCTTCTCAGATCACAATGGCATAAACCTAGAAATCAATTGCAACAAGAACATGCAGAGACATGTGAACACACAGAGGCTAAATAGCATGTTATTAAACAACGAATGGGTTACCAGATGCAGAGAAAGCAGTTCTGAGAGGAAAGTTCATAGCACGACAGGCCTACCTCAAGAAACAAGAAAAGTTGTTTGGGGAATGGGTGAATAAGGTGAAGGGATTAAGAAGTACAGATTCATTGCTAGACTGACAAACCCCAAAGGGAAAGGGGTTGGGGGTGGGAAGAAATAAACCAAAGAACTTATATGCATAACCAATGGACACAGACAATAGTGTGAGAAAAGGCGGGAGGGGGCGGGAGTGGGGAGGAGGGGGTCAATGGGGAAAAATGAGGAACATCTGTAATACATTCAACAATAAAGATTAAAAAAGAAAAAAGAAAACAAAATACCTTTGCATGTTCTGATACAAAAATAGCTCCAAGATATATCAAGTGAAAACAGCAAGACACAGAATAGTATGTATAGAGAAACCATTTTGCGTAAGTTTCAAAAAACTGCAGACACACACATACACACACACATTTGAGAAGAGGAATAAAATGAAAAGACAAAAGGTTAGAAAGTATAGAAAGCCTTAACTTTCATTTTGCATCTTCATGTACTATTTGAATTTTTTTTTTTTTTTTTTTTTTATCCTCACCCAAGGACATTTTTCCTTTTTTTTTTTTTTGTTCAGGTAGAGTGGGAGGGAGAGAGAGGAACAGAGAGAGAGAGAGAGAAACATCGATGTGAAAGGAATACATCGAGTGGCTGCCACCCGCACAACCGACCAGGGCCGGGGACAAACTGCAACCGAGGTACGCGCCCTTAGCGGGAACCGAACCCGGGTCTCTCAGGACCGCAGGCCGATGCTCTAACCGCTGAGCCAAACCGGCCAGGGCTGAATTTTTTTTAACCATATACATGTATTGTTTTTTTCTAAAAAGATCAACAGGTATTGTAGAAACCCACTTCCAAGATGGCCACAATGATCCCTACCTCCTGGTATTCACAGTCCTGTAGAGTCCCCTCCCACAATGTACCATCATTGGTCTGTGTGACCACAAGAATACAGCATAAGTGATGGCACATCACTTCCAATATTAGATTATAAAAGACATTGTGGCTTCTGTTTTGGTCTTGTGCTCTCATCCCTGTTGGATCACTCACTCTGAAGGAAGCCAGTGACCACAAGGGCAATGCAGCTTGACTGGGCCTGCAAACAACCACATGAATGAGCTTTGAAGTAGATTTTCTAGGTCCTGGCCAAGACGATGACTGCAGACCCAGACAACAGCTTGACTGCATCCTCATGAGAGACTCTGAGTCAGAACTACCCAGCTAAACTGTACACAGATTATCGGCCCTCAGAAATAGTAAGATAATAAATGTTTGCTGTTTTAAAGTGTTAAATGTTGGGATAATCTATTACACAGCAATAGGTAATTAATACAAGGATTATGTGCATTGTGGGATTTATACGGCCTTTTTTCTTCATACTTCTCTGTATCTTTTTTTCATGTTTATATTGATTTTTTAGAGAAAGAGGAAGGAACAGAGAGATAGAAACATTAATGTGAGAGAGAAACACCGATTGGCTGCCTCCTGCATGTCCCACACTGGGGATCGAGCCCACAACCCGGGTATGTGCCCTGACTGGGAATCGAACCAGGACCTCTCAGTCCATGGGAGGACACTCAATCCACTGAGGCACACGGGCCAGACATTTGTTTGTTTTTTTTCTTTATTGATTTTAGAGAGAGAGGGAGGTAGGGAGGGAGAGATAGAAACATCGATGAGAGAGAACATCAACTGGCCGCCTCCTGCATGCCCCACACTGGGGATTTGGCCTACAACCTGGGCATGTGCCCTGACCAGGAATCTAACCAGTGACCTCTTGGTGCATGAGGTCGACACTCAACCACTGAGCCACACCAGCCGGGCTCTATTTTTAAAAAAAATCTTTATTGTTGAAAGTATTACAGATATCCCCCCCTTTTTCCCACTTGACCCCCTCCTCCTTGCTCCCACCCCCTCCTGCTTTCCCCAAACTACTGCCTTCTCTGTATTTTTTAAAGCTAATAAATGTTATTTTTAAATTATCATCAGTGTTCCTGACAGTACTTCCCATTGAAAAATTACAACATAGCCCTGGCCAGTTTGGCTCAGCGGTTAGAGTGTTGGCCTACAGACCAAAGAGTCACGAGTTTGATTCAGGTCAAGGGCACGTACCTCGGTTGCGGTTCTATCCCCAGCCCTGGTCAGGGTCATGAAGGAGGCAGCCAGTAGATGTGCCTCTCTCACATCAATGTTTCTCTCTCTCTGTCTCTCTCCCTCCATCCCTCCCACTCTACCTGAAGATAAATGGAAAAAAATATCCTCGGGTAAGGATTGAAAAATAAATAAATGCCTCAAAGAATAATTCTAAAGAAAAATTACAACACAGTTTTACTTACTTGGAACTCTTATCTGGTAGTGATTAAGTGCTGTAAGGGCTTCTACTGCGTCGGTTTTGCATTCCCATTCTAACAGCCCAGAAAGCGTTTTGGCAGAAGCTAAAACATAAAATCACAAATCCAGTTATTATTTGCTTGTCACAACTTAACTAGAAAACTTAAAAAAAAGAGGAAGTGTGCACTTACGTTTTGCATCAAACACTTTATATTTGATGAATGTAAGAACTTCATGGTCATTACACAACTGTTAAAAAAACACAGAACTCCATTAAAAACATGGCCGAAATAATATTCCTACCTTTTTAAGAAAGTAAACTTTATGGCAGCATTTAACTTTTGAGCCTGACATGAAAGGACTAAATGTCTTTAATAAGCTGTATGAGAAAATCAATTAAAAATAATGAAATTCAACAAACTATGCAAATAATTTAGTGCTGTACAATAAAATCACAGATTTTTAACTAAAATATATATTCTCAGTGTTGACCAGGATTTATTGGTTGACCAGTAGGAGTGGAGTTCCAGAAAATTACTTCTCTCTGAAGCATTTCCTACAGTTAGGGAAAAAGGCAGGAATATATAGAATTTTGTTATGAGTAAGAAGTAAGAACACATTAACGAACTTTCTGAATGCAGAAGTAAGGTTATCTCATTCTAATTTCAACTCTCAAAAAGACTGTGCCACAAACCAAGTAAGACCAATGAAGAATGGAGGCCACAAAAGTATAATGGCCAAGAAATAAACTCTATAATAAAGTACCAAACAAACAACAGAATACTAACAATATCAAAAGCAGATGAGCAGAGCAAGACTTTATTTTATTATTATTTTTTTAAATCCTCACCCGAGGACATTCTTCCATTTTTTTGTGCAGACAGAGTGGGAAGGAGAGAGGGGAAGAGAGAGAGCGAGAAACATTGATGTGAAAGGGACACATCAAGTGGCTGCCTCCCGCCGGGCCCAACCAGGGCCAGGGGACAAACTGCAACCGAGGTACGCGCCCTTAGCAGGAACTGAACCCGGGTCTCTCTGGACCGCAGGTTGACGTTCTAACCGCTGAGCCAAACTGGCCAGGACAGCAGAGCAAGACTTAAAAATTAGGCTAAAATATGACATGTTTTAAAATAGAAAAGAGGAACATTTTACACAATTTGTATTTCAGCACCCACCTTCGTAAAGGTCTCCTCTGTGACACACAGTGGGACGTTATAGTAATGCAGCACACACGAGGGTGGCTGGATTATATTCTTAGATGCTTGGCCAGCGCTTGTAAATCGATTATTTTTGCTCATTGCAAAATCCTTGTAGCTACTCGTACCATCTTCCAATTCAAATATTTGACTTGGGACAACTGAGTGTTGTTTAGACACACTGAAGATTGGAAAGGGAAAAGGTACAGAACACACCTTGATAAAAAGCAGCAAGTAGGCAGTCTCAAAATATATTATATATACATATATATATCTGCATCAATTTAACAAAAAAAGCATTCATAGCTATTTAAACAGTTTAAATATTTAATATTTTGAACATGTATTTAAATATTTAAATTTAGTTTGAGTTAAATCAGTCTTACATTTTTGACATCAATTAGAAAGAAAAATCTACTGACCATGTTCTCATATTAGAAAACTTGAACATAAAATATGCCCATTTTAACATGCTGTTTTATGATCATAAAACTAAAAACCAGGCATAGGTAAGCAATACCTGAATTATATGATCCTAATACTTTGTTTAAAATAACACTATAAATGCTAGTTTCAGATGTGCCCTCAATCATATTAAAATATTCTGAAATTGAAATTAATGTCTTTAATATAAAGATTTAAAAATATTTTTAAAGCTTTTAAAATTTACAAGATATTTACCAAACATTAAGTCTTTTCCCAAATAATTTGACATTGTTAAGGTGTGTGACAGCTCTTTCTACAGCATATTCATCACCCATTTCTACCAGCGCTGTACCAGGAATAGTCTTCATGAATTTTACCTGTAAATACAAAATCCCCAAAAGGTGACCATCTAATTCCTTTTTTTTTTCTTATCCTCACCCGAGGACATTTTTTCATTTTTTGTTCAGATGGGGGGGTGGGGGGGGGGGGGAGAGAAACATCGATGTGAAAGGGACACATTGACTGATTGCCACCCACACGACCCAACCAGGGCCGGGGACAAACTGCAACCGAGGTACATGCCCTTAGCGGGAACCCAACCCGGGCCTCTCTGGACTGCAGGCCAACGCTGAGCCAAACTGGCCAGGGCTAATTCCATTTTGTAGTAATGGAATTTCTAAAAGATAATATGGTTTAAGTGGTTGATGTCAAATACAGAAGATCACCTGGAATTTTAAACTTTATTTTGATGTGCTATTATTAGACATTTTTAATTCATATTGAAATTCAATCAACTTAAAAAGAAGACTATAAACACAGGCTTACATATTTATTAACGTGTGACCTACAGCAATTTACTTCACGTCTCTGAGCTCCAGACTTCTCTATAACATGGAGATAAATAACATCTGACAGGACTCATCAATATCTATTCATTCAACAGATATTTATTAAGTGCCTAATATGTTTTTATAAGCTGTGTGCTAGGTACTGGGAATTTAATGGTGAACATAACAGACGTGGTATTCTTGAAGTTTATATTCTAATAGGTAGGTCAGATATTTTTTTTAATCCTTACCCGAGGACATTTGTTTTGCATTTATCTTCAGATAAAGAGGGAGGGAGAGAGGGAGGGAGAGAGAGAGAGAGAAACATCGACGTGAGACACATCGAGTGGCTGCCACCCATATGCAACTGAGGTATATGCTCTTAGCAGGAACCGAACCTGGGACTCTCTGGTCTGCCGGCTGAGCTCTAACTGCTGAGCCAAACCGGCCAGGGCAGTAGGTCAGAAATTTAAAAATAAGTCTGTTACAGTGATATACAAAATCCTATATAAGAAATAATATGAGATGGCCTTGAGCTAACATTGCCAGAAGAAAAGCCTGTGCAAAGTAAGGGCAGTGTAAAAAATAGGCAATACTTCACAAGTTGTCATGAGATCTTGGGCAGAGGCCACATTATCCTCTATTATTCCAATTTTAGTATAAATTCTTAAGAGTTAGATGGAATAAAGTATGAAAAATCACTCGGCATAGTAATTTTCCTACCCCTTGGAAAGTCTGTGAATAGCTACCACTAATTTCCATGACATTTTGAACATACTTCCTTATCAGTTAACCTTAAAAGAATACTGGAAAGGTACTTATACAACAAATGTAACAGCATTTACATCCACCACCGCAACTGTCCACTTTAATGGGCTATCCTAGCATTTTTATACTACACCTGTACTTGAACATAACTCAGCTGTAGCAGGACTTTTCATTTTTATTTGAAATCAAATGTCTTCTTGTGAGCAAAATTCCTCTCCCGTGAATAAATCCAATAACATCTTACAAATCTAATAGTGAATAATATATATATATGTGAAGCATGTAGTTCTTGTGCTGATAAATCTTTAGAAAAAGTTAGAAAAAATTAACGATATAGAGGTATTTTAAAGATATGATGGCTTGAGTTTGATGTACCACAATGTGTCATTTAAAATATTTTGAGCCCTTGACTCAGTGGTTAGAGAGTCCTCCTGTGGACTGAAAGGTCATGGGTTCGATCCCCAACCCCAGGAGGCAACCAATCGATGTCTCTCGCTCACACTGATGTTTCTCTTTCCCTCCCTCCCTTCTAGTTTATGTAAAAATCAATGGAAAAATATCCTTGGGCAAGGATTAACAACAAAAATGTTTTGAAATTATTGAGATGTGGAATGAGAGAGACTAGAATTGTTCAAACATACAGAAAACTTACATTTTATTGAACAAAGTGATCTGAGTTCTAAATCATGAGATAATTAGTTCATAACACAAAAGACAAAGATCTATTGAAGATGTTGATTAAACTGATTCTCATTATCTACATATGTGAAAAGTACAAACAGAAAATTAACACTATGTGAAGGTTAAAATACACATTAAAGCCTATTTGGTTATCAAGCATGAGGTTCCTAGACCTTAATTAAACACCCAGGTGTCTAAAATAAATGTCTGTATGAAAATAATCTGAACTATTTTTCCCAGTGTTGTTAAATCTGTTCCATGTAGTTTTCGTTAGTTCATATAAGTAGAAATATCCCCAAGACCATTCTTTTTTCAAAAAATGTGGTCAAATAGTTATGTTGAGGAAATTCTTATTTCAGAGATTTGCTTCCTCAAATCAAGAACTAAGAGTACCAACAGACTCACATACTTATACTTTTTTATTTTTGTAAAAAGAACACTAAAAGTCACTTAAAACATCACTACAATATTGAAACTCAAATTAGCAAGTGATTTCAAACAAATAGTAACTTAAAGACTACCAATTATTTCCCCAGTTAAATTTCCCATGATTCTTTCAAAAATAGTTTAACACCTACTTGTGACAGGAGCTATCCTAAGTGTTTGTAGGGTTATCAATGAACAGAACATCACAGATCTGGGGAAACCACAGAGTTATCTGATAAAAATAAAGTTACAATTCTAAAGATCTTCAAAATATGTTTGATTTAAATGGTTTACTCCTTTTTTAGTATAAGCCTCCAGACAGAAAATTCTGGACACATTCTAGCAAAGTGGGTCAGTTTCAAACACCACTGGAGCTAAAAACACATTGTTCCTCAGAAAAGATAAGAACTCTAGCACTTGGGAGGCAAGTATATAAATCTAGAACCTTCCTAAAATTAATGACTTGTGGTCAAGTCTGAGATATATTTATGTATACCTAGCTCCATGAAATTAAATGATCTTTCAAATTCCACAGTTTAACATGTTAAATGCTAGAATCTCTTTGAAATAAAAACATAAGATTTATGTCTTTAATACTCCAGTAATTGAACTGTTTTAGACTTTTATTTATATTATTTTTAAAAATGCTTTTAATATGAACAACCTATACTGATCACTTAACAACAAAAAACAATTTCTAGAGTTCCTACCTAATGAATTTTTAGCTCATGTGGGTCACTACTAAAAGAACTAGAATGTTCCTGCCCGGCCGGTGTGGCTCAGTGGTTGAGCATTGACCCATGCACCAAGAGGTCACAGGTTCAATTCCTGGTCAGAGCACATGCCCAGGCTGTGGGCCAAATCCCCATTGGGGGTCATGCGTGAGGTGGCCAAATGATGTTCTCTCTCACCAATGTTTCTTTTTTTTTTTTTAAAGAAGATTAAGCACAACTCTTTTTTTATAATTTTTTTTTCTTTCTTGATTGATTTTGGAGAGAGGAAGGGAGAGAGAGAGAGAGAAACACTGATGAGAGAGAACATTGATTGGCCGCCTCTTGCATGTCCCCCACTGGAGATCAGACCCACAACCTGGGTATGTGCCCTGACCAGGCATCGAACCAGTGACCTCTTGGTTTATGGGTCAATGCTCAACCACTAAGCCACACTGGCCGGGCTCTCATCAATGTTTCTTTCTCTCCCTCTCTCTTCCTCTCTCTCTAAAAATCAATAAAGAAAAATATTTTGTAAATGTTAAAAAAAAAAACCAAACTTGAATGTTCCTAATTCAAGAACAAAGCATGTACCTGCTGCCTTTTCAGATGTTCTTATTATATTATCTTAGCAGAAAAAAAAAAAATCTAAATTAAATGAAACTTACCTTTTCAATATTTCCATATAAGCAGAATAGGTTGAAGACTCTTGAACAATTCATTTTTAGCTGATGTAATCCACTAACCATTACAACTGAACCAGAGGGATTTCCTCCATGCATGTAAGAGGAAGAAGCCTGCGGTAATGGATATGCAACAAGCTCAGGTGTATCTCGAGAGCCCATCCTGTAACGACTCGGTAAAGGCAATAATGGACCATGCGATCCTATAAAAATAATGAGGGAGGGAGGGAGGAAAAAGAGAAAGAGAGAAAAAACACAACTTTAGCAAATAGACTATACCACCAAAAAATAAACTATTATTATAACTAATCTGATGTATGTCCAAACAAAACTCAAATGTGTGAATGTTCAAATATAATATAATCTGTAGGAATTAATAAAATCTACATTGCTTTGTATCAGATCTGATATACATTGGCCTGCATGCACCTGCATCAGGTTTTACATTTAAATATTTTAAAAAATAGTAGTTTAACCCCCCCCAAAAGTATGTAAGATCAGGCCATAGATGGAGAGGGAGAAATTAGTGTAAATCTTTGGGTCACTGTATATACATTATACCTCATTAAAAAAAATAACTTCTGCCAATGTTATTTAGAGGATAATACTACAACATATACCATCTAGAAATCTAGATAACTATCTCTATACAGACACAACAAAAAGAACATCTTTAGTTCCACTGAAAAATTGTCTCCTTTAAATATAATTTAATATAATGTACTTACAGGTTAGCATTTTATTACAATTCAGGTAATTAAAACCACAGATTTAGTTAAAATCACACCTATTCATAGGTGTCATTAATTCAGCAACCCATGTTTTGCAACAACATCAAGAACCAGAAGAAAATGCCTGAGTATCTGAACCTATTGTCACCGAAACACAAAAAATTCTATGTCTCTCATACTGAAAATCCTTAAGGAGCAACCTGTTAACTTTAGAGTAATTCTAAACAACTTCACCTGGTTTTCCCATTCACAACCCATTAGAAGTAACAAGAAAAATAAGGCTAGAGTGAATAATAGACAGGGATGAGGGAGTCTGGAGAAACTGTGACAACTAAAAGTAGGCATTTATAGCAACAAGAAGAGAGGCATAAAAAGTCAGAAGAGGCAACTAAGCTTGAGACAGGTAGCTCAGAAATATAAACCCACACTTAGGCACTCCTGAGTTAGAGTCTATAGTAGCATCCTCTGGGATACATGCAAAGGTCCTCCTGATGTGCAAGAAACCAATCCAAAATCCCAAGTCCTTTCCTCGTCTCTCAAAAGTGAAGAGTATATAATGCTTCTGACTTTCATTTTTATGTAAGACTAAAGTGATTGCGACTAAGAGGACACTTGTCGTCTACTGAGTAACTAAGAACCACTGTATTTTAGTATTAGAGCATGCTATTAGAGCTTATGTGGACTCCAATTCAGGATTCAGGATTCTCAATGTAGCTGCCATTCATAACACAACACCACTACCACTGAGCACATGCAAACAGTGTGAGTTCCTGCCATTTTATATAGCAGCGATTTTCAACCAGGGTGCCACAAGAATTTTTAAAACATGCAATACCTGACTCTTTAGTCAGGGGCACTGACCTCTTTTCCCTTAGACTGTCAAATGTTTCTCTCTCTCCCTCCCTCCCTCTTTCCCTCTCATTCTAAAAAATGGAAAAATATCCTTGAGTGAGGATTAAAAGCAAACAAAAAAATTATAGCTATTTTTTTTTTTGGTCAGATTGCAAAAAGTATACTTTTGGCGTGCCACAGAATTTTAATATTTAGTCTATGTGTCATGAGATGAAAAAGGTTGAAAATCGCTATTATAGAGGAATACTTGATCAATGCATCCTCATTAGTGTTGCCTTAAATTGGTTATGGTTTTCAACTTCTCTTCTTGCTGGTAACTGGTCGTTTACCACAACAATCAATATAGCTCATGGTGTTACTTGTTAAAAACTACACATATTTTGGCCTCTAGTTTAAGCTATTATACATACAATGGAGTCATATCAATAATTTCTTATCTCTATTACTACACCCCACCCCACCATTTGGTTGTACAATAATGACACTTTACTATTATCACTAGATTTTGTTTTCCATGGAAGGTGGAAAAATGTATGGTAGATGGGCAGCAGAAACTTTCCATTGTTTCAAGTTGGCCAAGGTCCAAAAACATTCAGCTCTACTGCCACATGTATCAATCAAATTCAGTGCAACAGAACTAATATTATAATTATGACATTCAGCCATCAGGATTAAATTATGTTATCTATACAACTTAAACTGTTACCTATATTGTTTAAGAAGGTAAGAAAAAAAACAGAAGTCTTTTTTTTTTTTTAATCTCACCCGAGGACATTTTTCCATTTTTTGTTCAGATAGAGTGGGAGGGAGGGAGAGGAAGAGAGAGAGAGAGAGAGAAACATCGACGTGAAAGGGACACATCGAGTGGCTGCCACCCGCACGACCAACCAGGGCCGGGGACAAACTGCAACTGAGGTATATGCCCTTAGCGGGAACCAAACCCGGGTCTCTCTGAACCGCAGGCTGACGCTCTAACCGCTGAGCCAAACCGGCCAGGGCTCCATCGCCTTTTAGATAGAAAAGGAGGGAGGGATGCAGGGAGGGAGGGTGGGAGGAGGGCAGCATCAATTGGTTGCCTCCCACATAACCCTGACCAGGACCAGGGCCAGGGCTTCAACCTGTAACCCAGGTATGTGCCCTTGACTGGAATTGAACCTGCAACCCTTTGTTCTGCGGGCCGACGCTCTAACCACGGAGCAAACTGGCCAGGGCACAAAAACATGTCTTTTAAAGCTTTCTATACTAAAGAGTTCATGCAACATTTTGGTGCTTAAATTACTAATGCTTCAGGTATTTAAAAATTTTACTTATGTAAAAAATGCTACATAAATGGGCATTGTTAACATTTTGAAGGCATTTTCCATCTTTGATATTCTAAAATCTTTGGTCCAGGATCCATATCCAAAGATACTAGCAATTAATACACAAACGTTTCTTGGGCTCACAGCAAATCAATCTGTATAGTTATTTTTGCCACTTTTCAAGTATAATGGCTTCTACCAGTGCATCTCATAGGGCTGGACTTCCCAAATTAAAAGAGTTAAAGAATTATGAAAACATAGATTTATACTGTTATAAAAAGTTAAATAATGAATTTAACCTAATTAAATAAATAAACCTTTTCCATACCAACATAAAGGAAAGCCACACATGATATGGTAAAAATGCAAATTAACCTCTTTTGCTGATCTGCTGAATCTGAGGAATACAGCTGTGATTTGCAGCATTTGTAAGAAGGCTCAAGATCACTAGCATCCAAATCCCATATTCTTTGCCTTTCCCCAATTTCACATCTTACTTCTCTACCTCCTCTTTATTCATCTCTCTCTTCGCCCACCTCCGTCCCTCTCCCCCATTCTGCTTACTTCCCTAGAAAAGTAAAATTATTCTCAGAGTTAAGTGTTTTAATGGACACAGCTCAGAATGGATGCCCCTACACAACCCCACTACACATTTCTCTTCAGCAGGACTCTCCAGAGCCTGAAAGATCCCTATTTAACAACCATCATTAAGCCAAAGAAGTCTACACCTCATCTCTTTAAGTAAGCTTGTATTTTAAAATTTATACATACACACACACTCACTCACTCACTCTCTCTCTGTCTCTCTCTAAATAAATTAGGGCAAAAAACTGACCACATATTTTACAATAGGGTTTAAAAACATACATGAAGTTCCTCTAGGGTATATCATATATTTTTGTTTATACAATTTTCCAATAAAATAAATTTTATAAAAGAAGGAAAACCTGAAACTCACACTGAGAAAATAATCTTTGTCCTTCATTTATTCTTTCAGATTTTTCTACCCTGTTTTGGCAAAACATTAAACCAATTTTAGCCTTCAGCTGATTCCCACAGCAGTTATATATTCCACAACTACACTACAAACTTGTGGTTAGTAATTCTTTTGTAACCCTCCATTATGCCAAGTACAGTGGGCTCCTAATAAGTGTTTCTTTGCTGCAGGGTCAGAACTACCCATACGACCATTTTTAATATTTACACTGTTAAAGAAACTAAGACAAATGATGAAGGAACACACTCACTAAATGACAGTAAGTAGTAAGATTTTCATTCTGTACAACACACTTACTGTTTTAATACAACATTATTGTTTCAACTTCTGCTATATAGACTACTATAGAAACTTGAACAAACACACACTCAATGAATTCCTGAAATTTAAAAAAAAGACAACAGGAATAAGCTAAAACTCACAGCTAAGAATGGTCATCAAACACATAGGCAATAAGAAAATATTTCAGACAATAGGCAACACCAGGGACTTTGCAATGATGAATCCCAACAGTACTATATGGCAATTTCTATTTTCTACCACTTCAAATAGCATTGCACCTCAAATTGAAACCACAGAATAGGTGAGGTCAATTAATACTTTTTAAATACTAAAAAATATTTAAAACCACACAACTTATAACCAGTTAAAAACCTTATCAATGACAATTCTCAGTATCCCTCACAAGGACAATAGCTTGATAGTTCTCTTTGCTAAGGAAGAATATTATTCTAGGTTTCATAACCTTAACTTACCCACATAGCAAACATTAAAACTAAAGAAGTTTCAACAGAGAAATTAAATAAAACCAATTTAACCAAAGCCAATATACTAACTGTAGAACTAAAATAATTAAAGATCTAACCAGAAACATGTCTCCTTTTCAATAAATACCCCATTCTTTCTGCCTTTATTACTCAAAATTCCTCTTTGCTCATAATTGCTACAATGAAGAAAATACACTTACTGAACAATAATACTTCTTTTTAGTCCTCTAACAGAACCAGAGCCCATAACTAATCAAAACCAAGACAAAACAAAACAAAATATAATGGTAAAAAAGCTTTCAAATCCCCAACCAATAGCTCTCATTTATCTCAAGGATTATATATCAATATTCTAAAAAAAAAAAAAATTTTGGACAACTCCTTGGGAGGACATTATAAGGGACCAATCCCATATAAATCAAGTCAGGTGAGCAGGAAAAATAGAAACAAGAAATGTGCCATTCATCAATAGTTCATCTATACTACCTTCCTTCTGCCTTGACAACTTACCATAGCCATCATGTCTAAACGAAGAAGGGTGTTCTCCCAAAATGGCTTGTCTCTGGCGACCCTTTCCTCTATCTGACACAAAAGTAGAAACATGGTTTTAACAATTTTGACCCAAGTACTTAACAGAGTTCTCACATGGGAAAACCCATTCAAAACATCCATTACAATTCATAATAAAAGAATTGTGATTCCTGGTTAACTTTAAACATCCATTCATATCCATTTTAAATACAAACACCAAAAGTTTAAGAAAGTACTTCTATCTAACAAACTCCACTTAACTTGAAAATATCTTTTTGGCAAATGCCAAATACAATCACACTTTCAAACTTAAGAAAAATGGATACTTTTCAGAAAGTGAATGTACACAATGCTAGAGTTTGACACTGTACAGAAGTTTTTTACCAATACATGTCTTTAAAACAAGCTTTAAGTGCAGTACTTTTGAAAGACAGTACCTGAATCATACTATTAGCTTCAACAGCAACACATTTTCAAAGTGGGCTTCTTTCAAGAAGTTCAGCATAAGCCAACAACAACCTGTATTACATGGTTTCACAATCAGTAAACACAGAGTATTTTGTATGTATATACACATATTTACAAACACCTACAGACTCGAGAGCTGGAAATTTGCACATCACTGGCCCAGATTATATCATGGACTGATCATTATGTATAGATCTTAATACCAGGCAGGACTATGAGCACTCCCCAAAGTTTAAATATGCCAAGATAAAGCTAACCAAGGGGGCTACATTATTGGATGAGAGTACTACAATACTCCTGAAGGATCATTTTAATTTTAGCTACATTTTCAGGGAAGGCATGCCAATTTTCCCAAATCAAATGTGAGAAGTAAATAAAAAGTAAGTTTCTACAGTAGCACTTCCTATGTTGGTTAGTAAATTTTAAAATTCATTGTATAATACTTTTTTAAAGTTTGCTGATCGAATTATAGTGTCCAGTAAGATTTTTAATGTATTTTAAGAGTCTGGTCATTCTAATCTTTAAAAATTCAAAGAGAGGGGCTCATTATACATCCTTAGTCATCTAAACAAATGAGATTTATGGGAGATGAGAAATAACTTAAATTTTCACTTCAGTCTAGAGACATGTCATTTTAATTACCTATTCCAAGTTACCACAGCACAGATAGGGACCTAGGAAGTCATCTAGTTCAACTTTTATTCAGTGTATAAGTTCTTTTTACAACATCCCAATCAATTGGGACCATCTAGCCTCTGCTTACCCAACATCAGTAACAAGACACTCACTCCTTTCCCTAACATTTCAGGTAGTCCTAAATCATCAGGAAATTAATTTTTGTACTGTACAGAAATTGGTCCTCTATCCATATTCTATCCCATTTGGGGCCTCAAAGACTTACTCAGTCTTTCCCCAAAAACCCTTCCAAGCGCTTAAACACTATTAAGATCCTCCCTCCATTTGCCCAAAGTAATTTCTTCTCCGGTCTAAACATTTACAGCTTCTTCTTTCCATTACATAGCTTCTGCATCATCATTTAAGTCTCACTCCTTTCAATCAATCCAATCTACTAAAACACTGTGCTAATGTGCTTCTATTGAAGCATGCCACCGAACGCTAAATACAATTTCTTATCTGATCTAGGAACCTTAAACCAAAGCCACCATGTTTTCAAGGCTCAATTTTACTGATATAACAGTGTGCTGTAAGGAAAGAGCAGTGGATTGAGAATCAGAAGATCCCCATTTAACCACTGATTTGCTGTATAATCACAGAAACAACTTCATTCATAAAATGAAGTTTAGGTAGATGATTTCCAAGGTATCTTTCAGCCAAACATTCTCACTGTTAAATATTCTCTTCATTCGAAGCATTCACTACCTAATATAAGGTCACATAAGATAGAAGTGTGTAGAGGAGTCAAACACTGACTACACCAGTCTATAAACAGTGGTATATAACCTTTCCTGCATTCAACTGAAATCTGATGGAAGCTGTGGGCCTTCCCCCCAAAAGATACATATACAGACACGTTCTGCTTAACATTTCTGAAGGGATTCTCCGGCATCCAGGCTAAGAATTCTTTGCACTAAAATGTAATGTGGGCTGAAAAGGACTTTTTAAAATGTGGTTATATTTACAAAAGTGGTTTTATTTTTGATAGAAAAAGTTACAATTAATATCAACTTGAGTAGAAGTTAAAGTCACTACAAAAACAAAAATAAACTGCTATAGGCTTGCCAGGCAAACATCTATCTATAAAGAATTAGAAAACAAAAATTCTTTTCCCTTGAAAGCATAAACAACTACAATTCTGTTTGACTTCCTTTAATTATACTTCACTATTTAAATACCTATCTTACACATTTCTTAACATTTCTGACTGTAATTCCTTGCATGAAAAACTAATATAAGACCGGTTCTGTGTAAACTTTAGACCTTTTAAAATAGATGTTAACACTATTAAAATAAAAAGCATGTCTATATAAATGTTGTAAGAGACATTAAGAGAAATGTAACCAAAAGCACTATTTCAAATAAATGGGAAAAATAAAAACAACCCTGAGTGTTCTTTAACTGACTATAATTTGACAGAAGTGAGAGATTTCTCATCAACCACTTGTTCTGTTGTTTGAGAACTAAGGCTTTGTTTTCCAGTACTGCACTCAACTGCACCAAGCCCATACCAAGTGGATTTCTGTGAGTAGAGAAAAATGCGGGGGTCCAGCCAAAGCTGCACTGCAAAAACAAATCTGTTTATAACCCCACATGCAAGGCAAGATGATTTCTTGAGAACTGAGAATTAAAGGGGCCAATCATCCAAAAGTCAATCTTTGAACAGGCAAAGGATCATTGCATTGCATTTTGTCTTTGGTCAAGAGTATATGCACTATAGAGTCCCTACTGCCCAAGATATTTTGGATGCCATAAAAAATTTTCCTAATTTATTAAATTTTACAGACATACTCATCTTGGTGAGTTTTCCCAACATATAGTTCAAATATTGATATTGTAGTTGAGATGTAGCCAATATTGCAGCCCCCTTGTTTTTACAAGATCCACATTTTAATCTGTATATACCAAAATTGCCACACACTTAGTTGAACAATTTTACCAGTAAAATCTATGCTCATGAAGTCTAGCATTTAGAGGTTATAGGTGAAAATGTTATTTCCAATGAACTGTTCTTATTTTCAAATTTATCAAGTTTAAATATATTCTACCTGGAACAGACATGTTACTTTCACCTGCATTTGAAATGTCAAAATTTCTAGTTACACAAATTAACATGAATGATAACCTTAAATTGTTACAAAAAGTAACAACTTATAAACAGTCACTTTACAAAATTCAAACCACACAGAAAATCGTCTTTTACATATAATGCACCTTTTCATTATATTATTCTATTCAATGACCACACTTGAGGGGAAAAAACTTAAGTGCAGCAAGTGTGCACTTGCTTTAATATCTGTGTGGATTGGTTGAGCATTATCAATTCCCAAGACCTATAGATAAATTGGCCCTGGTTATTTGCCAATTAACAATTTGAATCTAAGCTGAAAACAGTTACAGTAATTAAGATTTACAACATTGTAGGTAAAGTCTAGTATCCGTTAGTGAAAAATCTTAAATTCTACAACTGAAACCTTAAGGGAAATCAGACCAAGATATACATACAACTTGAATAAATGGGCACAGTCTATCGTGCTGTTCATCCCATGCAAGTCTGAAGTACTGTTAAGTGTCCTCCTTTAAGAAGCTGGGTGATGGTGCATGCAGTATGCAGTCAAGGTGAATTGCAAGTCTGAGTTTTTCAGAGGGCTTTTTGCTGATGCCGATGTTGTGCATGATGAAGTGTAGAGTCAGCCTGCTGGAGTCCTCTATCCTTCTTAATGCCTTGTCCAGCTTGGGGGGAAAGTCCTTTCCATAGAGAAGCAGTGTGCAAGTTTGAAGTTTGTAAGGAATATTCTGAATCAGTTTCCTCTCCTCCAAAGAGAGAGAGCTGCTTGGAGAAATGCAAGTCCTTGAACTGCGGGCGTGCTTGTATGTGTGGGCTCCTTTGTTGAACTAAATATAAATAACTCAGTACATACCAGTAGGGGGCACTAATGTTCAAGGTTATTTTCCAGCATTACATGGCCTTTTGCAACAAAAGCATTCACCAACAAGATTTTTATTTGAATGAACTAGCTAATCTCAGGAAAAAGGAATCTAACTGCATGTAAAAATTTTCAGCAGATACAAATACATTCTAAAATGCATAAAATACTTACCTCGTCTTCCCAGATATGGTTTAGTGTAGTCCCAACTGTCATTGTCATTCCTAATAACATTTAGACGAGTTGGCTGTTAAGATTAAAAAGAAAGTAAGTTCAAATTGTATATCCAAAGCATAAATATTTCTTTGGTGAAGTGTTGAAAAAAATATTTACCCTTGCATATTCAATTTTTAGTGTGCAACATCCAGCATATATATCTGCTCCATTGAGTGCTGCTTTAGCTTTCTGGGCACAAAGGACTGATTCAAACATAAGCTCTATTAAGGAAATTTGGTTTAAGATATCAAATATTTAATTATTATTCAATCCCTAAGAAAAGGACTTTAAAAATTAGAAATATCTCTTTCACGTCTGGAAATGTTTTACCAAGTAAAATTTCTAGATGAATTTTAGTAGGGGAATTTATTTATTTTTTATCCTCACCCAAGGACATTTTTGCATGTATCTTCAGATAGAACAGGAGGGAGTGAGGGAGGAAGAAAGAGAGAGAGAAACATTGATGTGAGAGATACATCGAGTGGTTGCCAGCCACACGACCCCAACCGGGGCAGGGGACAAACTGCAACCGAGGTACATGCCCCTAGTTGGAACCGAACCCGGGACTCTCCGGTCTGCCAGCCAACGCTCTACTCCCTGAGCCAAACTGGCCAGGGCGGGGAATTTATTTTTTAAATCAACAATACCATTGTAGGGTATAAAAATGTCTAAACACCATGTTGTACACCTGAAACTAATACAATACTGTATGTCAACTGTAATTGAAAAATAAAATTTAAAAATAAATTTAAAAAGAAAAAATGATCAATGATACAACAAATATAATACAACCAACCTGTCTATACATTAATCCTTCTAAGTAATTAGAAGTACTTCATAAATTGGAGAGAAGGGGAAGGGAGCATGGTCACATTCCTTAGCAAAAGAGCTTGCTACCTTGAAACAGCAAATATTTTACTCTTAACATTACAAAGAACCAAAGTAATACAAAACAAACATAATTTTTATATGTTTCTCAAAAGGCAGGGTTTTAAACTATCTTCATTTTATTTTATTGGTTTTTAAAAATTACACAAATCTAGCCCTGGCCAGTTTTGCTCAGTGGTTGGAGCATTGGCCTGTGGATCAGATAGTCCCAGGTTCAGTTCCCACAGTGTACGTAAAAGGAAAAAAAAAAATTACACAAATCTATAATTTCTTCTAAAAAATAAAATCAAACCACAAAAGTTGTTAATAACAGAAAAAGGCAAAAACACCTTGTCAGAGAAGTAAGGACCATTAAGAGAGTTTGCTGTATATCCCTTAACTTTCTCTATGCATACGCTAGGGTTTTTTTAATTATTATTATTTTAAATGGGATTATACTATACATATATATATATACTATTTTACAACTTGTTCTTTTTACTCAACAAATAACAAATTTAACAAACAGAAATAGTTCTTACATAAACTATGACCATTTAAGATTCAATAAAGAAAGGTAAGAAAGGTTCTACTGATTCTAAAGTTTTGGTACTTCCAAATGACCTATTTAAAATTTTTTTTAAATCCTCACCCGAGGATATATTTTTCCATTTATCTTCAGATAGAGTGGGAGGGAGGAAGAGACACACTGACTCCTGCACAACCCCAACTGGGGCCGGGGACCAAACCACACATGCACTTTACTGGAATCAAACCCGAGACTCTCGGTCCATGGGCCAATGCTCTAATCGCTGAGCCAAACTGGCCAGGGCCAAATGACCTATTTTAAGAAAAGATTAAGAAAAGTTTATTCAAGATAAATCTCAAAATGTACAAGTGTATATATTATCAAACTGCTATTTTTCTCCATTGAAAAGGCAAAGCACACTGTAATATAAAGCACTGGATTGTTTTACGGTAGCAAGCAAAATTCTTGGTGGGTACTGCAGTTTCATTTTTTAAATCTAAGAAAAAGAGATTGGGGGGAATAAACACCACTTGTTGAGAAATAATTACGCAAAAAAAAAAAAGGTCTGTGTTACACAGCATTCATACAGATCAATAAAGAATTACAAATAAAGGATATTCAACCATTGCTTGTATCCCATTTCTCTTGAATATAACAATACGTTGCACTTTTCCAACAGGGTTGCATACAGTATATAATACATCCTAAGAAGGAAAGAAAAAGATTCCTTCACATTTTATATTTGGAAAAACATTAAAGCTATTATACACTGATAATCCTTTACAAAAAAAAAAAACGATCAAGATGTCATTTCTATTACTTACTAATTAAACTTTAAAAAATGTCACACTTTAATAAATTTAATTTCCTCACCTACACAATATACTCACTCATCAGAGAATTTCCAATGAAATATTTGAAAAGCACTATTATATATTTGATGCTTAATTTTTTTTTAATTTTTTAATTAAAAAAAATTGTTTTTATCCTCACCCAAGGATATATTTGCATTTATCTTCAGAGAGAGCGAGAGGGAAAGAGGGAGGAAGAGAGAGATAAAAACATCAAGTGGTTGCCACCCACATGACCCCAACTGGGGACAGGGACAAACTGCAACCGAGGTTCATGTCCTTAGTGGGAACCGAACCAGGGACTCTGGTCTGCAGGCCGACGCTCTAACCACTGAGCAGAACCAGCCAGGGCTTGATGCTTAAATGAATCTTCAATTTTTATTTTCTTAATAGGTGACTAATATACTGACTATACACAATTAATACCAAAAATGTAATCAATTAATTTGTTTTTTCCAAATATGACTCTGAAATGTTTCATATAATCACTTGAATTATGGTAATAAGTATTTATCAAGGGGTAGTAGAGAACAATTCAGTATCCATTTTTCAAGGAACAATGGCTATTCAGAAAAGACCCAGGGAAGATCTTTTATACAGTGTTAGATGACATCAAACAAGATACCCGAATTACCTAAGAGAGAACTTAAATACCCTAAGAGGAACAATTCTTCACCTTTCAAGAAATTTGTTGAATACCTACAATTACACAGCCGTACCATTAGGTACTAGGGATACAACAATAAACAAACTTGTATAAGAATAGTTGTACTAGATTAAGTTACATTCTTTTTCTCAAAACACCAAATACTGTATATCTATTTACACTGTATATTAAGTCTATAAATATTATAAAGATAATTGTTTAATTAAACTTAAAGTATAAGATACTATTTAAATGTATGTCCCAATATCATTTACCCTTATACTAGAAATACTAACTGAAGTTTCCCTTACTGTGATATTTTATTCATTACAAAAACCAAGGGTCTGCGTCATTAGCTTATTGTGAAACAGCATGTGATTATAAAATAGGACACTCAACTGGTTCAGAACATGAATCCTTTTTAAAATTCTACTAACATCATTTTTTAAAAGGGTGAAGCAGGGAATTTTAAGTAAACCAGGTCAGCTTTTAACAAGCTCTATATCAAAACACCTTATAGTAATGACATATGCATCTTACTATACTATGGAGGAGTCTGTCATTACCTGGTAGGTGCTCTTGACTGGCATATGAACAATGAGAGAATTCTTGGATCATTTCCAACAAGTCTGTCTAATCCCTTATTAGAAACAGCTAACACTGATGCTCTAAATGTGCTTATTTTTTCTTTATTGATATTTAGAGAGAGAGGAAGGGAGAGGGAGAGAGAGATAGAAACATCGATGAGAGAGAACATCGGCTGGCCACCCACTGGGGATTTGGCCCACACCTGGGCATGTGCCCCAACTGGCAATCGAACCAGCAACCTCTTGGTGCATGGGTCAACGCTCAACCACAGAGCCACACTGGCTGGGCTAAATGTGCTTATTTTAAATGTGCTTATTTATTTATGACAACTGTGCTTCTGACCTTTTTAGTGTCAGGGCTCACCATTTCTTTTGTTCATTAAACTTAGTAATCAAAATTAAGATTAATTAAAAAATAATTTTTTTTCAAAATAAAAAAGTCCGGCCTGTGTGGCTCAATGGTTGAGCATCGACCCATGCATCAAGAGGTTGCCAGTTCAATTCCTGGTCAGGACATACGCCCAGGTTGTGGGACTGACCCCCGGTGTGGGGGCATGCAGGAGGCAGCCAGTCGATGTTCTCTCTCATCGATGTTTCTCTCTCTCTCTCCCACTCACTTCCTCTGTCTGTAAAATCAAAAAAGAAAAAAAAATTAAGATTAATTTTAATAATTCTAAAAACAACCACTATTTTATTTTATTTTATTTTTTTTAATCCTCACCTGAGGACACTTTTTTGTTCAGGTAGAGTGGGAGGGGGAGAGAGAGAGAGAGAGAGAAACATCGATGTGAAAGGGACACATCGACCGCACGACCGACCAGGGCCGGGGACAAACTGCAACCGAGGTACATGCCCTTAGCGGGAACCGAACCCGGGTCTCTCGGGACCGCAGGCGGATGCTCTAACCACTGAGCCAAACCGGCCAGGGCGAAACAACCACTATTTTAAAATGTCTAGACGGCAGTGAAGAAAATTATGTCAGTCACTCTAGCGGCAAACTCCAAATTCACTTTAAAAAAAAAAAAATTAATCCTCACCCAAGGATATTTTTCCATTGATTTTAAATAGAGTGGAAGGGAGACAGAGAGAGAAAAAGAGAGAAAGAAACATCTATGTGAAAGAGACACATCAACTGGTTGCCCACGTACGTGCCCTTGACCAGAAATCTAACACAAGACCCTTTGGTCCCCAGGCTAATTTTCTAACTGCTAAGCCAAACCGGCTAGGGCAAAATCACTTCTAATTTAGTTTGTCATATTAAAAATCCATACCACTGTAATTGGATAGAGAGGATTCTGAATTGATAATAGAAGAACTTTGTTGCCTCCTGATGGATCATCAGTATTTCCTGGCCGAGTGATTCTTTTGCTTGTAGAATAGTTGAAAAAAGCCTGTTGACCAGCAATGTACACAGGTTCATCTGCAGCAAACGTCACACACTCTTTGGCACTATCTATGTTCTCAAATTCCACTAGAGCCTGTCGTTTAAATGGCATCATCATCACATAGCTGAAAGGGAGATTGGGAGGGAATACCCAAATAGAATAATTTCAATTAACATTATCTGTTTTCAATCAAGTAAAAGTAGACTTTATTAAAAATGTATCAAATCATACAGATTAGTATTCTTCACCAGCTGTATCCGAGGTCAGTCAACTCTTAAATCATCCAAATAAATTGTGCTCTACCGGGTAGATGGTGCATATTTGAAAGCTTATCCTCCTATGATTGAAAGGTTATGCCTTTCATGCCTTCCTCAGGAACAATTTTCTGTTATCAGTTACTAATGACACCACCCAGTTTATTCCTCAGGCTGCCACTCCCCAGTGGCATTAGAAAATATCTAGCTACAGAAACCAACAGTGATAAAACCCAACAGAAGTTTAGCAGATGGGACCCCTAAAAATAGAAACTACTACCTCTACTAATTTTTCCAAATAAATAAGTGCCCACTCTAACAAATTACTACACTTTCACTTATCCTACTAAAAACAGAGAACCAAAGATAAACAAAAGTAATTGCAAAGTGACCAAATTTCATACCAATAGTCTTCCCCCAAATATTTTAAATATTAAAGAATGTGAAAAGATAGACACTAGAATATGGTAATCATGGTTGCCTATGGACAAGAAGGTGAAGTATTTACTTTTCACTGTACACTCTTGGGAGTAGGAATGCATTTTAATACATGAAATGAAAAATAAAGAAATGGCCAAGCCAGTGTGGCTCAGTGGTTGAGCGTCAACCCATGCACCAAGAGGTTGCTGGTTCAATTCCCAGTCAGGGCACATACTCAGGTTGTGGGCCATGCAGGAGGTAGCCAACTGATGTTCTCTCTCATGAATGTTTCTATCTCTCCCTCAAAAAATTTTTTAAAAAAAATAAAGAAATGAAAGGAGGGACAAAGGTCAAGATGGAGGTGTAGGTGAACGTGGTATTGTGTCCGCCTACAACCACATCAAAGTAACAACTAAACTACAAAACAACCATCATTCAAAACCGCCTGAAATCAAGCTGAATGGAAGTCCTTCAACTACGGAATTAAAGAAGCGGCATCCAGACTGGTAGGAGGGTGGAGGCCGATGTGCGGGTCCCACACCCATGTGTGGCGGATAAAAATCAGGAGGACACCTCGGCTGGGAAGGTCCTCCCTGAGGACTGAGGGGTCCCCGTCCCACACCAGGTGCCCTGATCAGGGTTCCAGTGCCAGGAAGAGAATCCCCATAACCTCTGGCTGAAAAAACCAGCGGGAACTGAGGCTCAGGGAAGCTGAGGTGGCTGGAGCCCCAGGCAGCTCCTTAAAGGGCCCGCGCACGGACTTATCGGACTCTCTCCCTCTAAACTTGGAGGGGAGGCAGCTCGAGGGGCACCAGAGACATACAGGGAAGAACTGAGCTGTTTGGCACTGGAGCGAGGGCTGGAGAGGGGGCTTTTTCTGGGACAAACGTGCTGTCAGAGGCCTTTATTCCTATGGTGAGCCCTTCGCTGGGGCGGCAGACAGTCGCCATATCTGAGACTCCAGCAACCTGGCTCTCACTGGTAGCCCCGCCCCGGTGATTCCCTGAGGCCCCGCCCCACCCAACTTCCAGGCCTACCCAGCTGTTGCCAGTTTCTTTACCATAGGATTGGCCTGTCTTGGATCCGGCTTCAGGTTTTCCTAAATTCTTTCAAACAAGCAGCATCTGGTCTCAGCTAGCCCCATACCTCTCGTTAAGTAATACACAGAAACAAACACAGGGAGGCAGCCAAAATGAGGAGACAAAGAAACAGGTCCCAAATGAAAGAACAGGACAAAACCCCAGGAAAAGAACCAAGTTAAATGGAGATAAGAAACCTAACAGATGCTGAGTTCAAAACACTGTTATAAGGATGCTCAATGGACTTAGTGAGGGGCCTCAAGAACATAAAAAAGGACCAGTCAGAAATGAAGGAGGCACTAACTGAAATAAAGAATAATTTACACACATTCGATAGTAGAGTGGGTAAAGCCAAGAAGCAAACCATTGATTTGGAATATAAGGAAGCAAAAACACCCAATCAGAACAGCAAAAAGAAAAAAAAAATCCAAAAAAATGAGGATGATGTAAGGAGCCTCTGGGACAATTTTAAGCGTGCCAACATTTGCATCTTGGGGATGCCAGAAGGAGAAGAGAGAGAACAAGAAATCGAAAACCTGTTTGAAACAATAATGGCAGAAAACTTCCCTAACTTGGTAAAGGAAACAGACATACAAGTCCAGGAAGCACAGAGAGTCCCAAACAAGATGAACCCCAAGAGGCCCACACTAAGACACATCATTATCAAAATGCAAAAGGTTCAAGACAAAGAGAGAATCTTAAAAGCAGCAAGAGAAAAGCTGTTAGTTGCCTACAAGGGAGTTCCCATAAGGCTGTCAGCTGATTTCTCAAAAGAAACTTTGCAGGCCAGAAGGGAGTGGCAAGAAATATTCAGAGTGATGAAAAGCAAGAACCTACAACCAAGATTACTCTATCCTGCAAAGTTGTCATTTAGAATCGATGGACATATAAAGTCTTTCCCAGACAAGGGAAAGCTAAAGGAGTTCATCACCACCAAACCATCATCATATGAAATGCTGAAGGGTGTTCTTGAAGAAAAAGATAAAAAATATGAACAAACAAAATGGCGATGAATACATATCTATTGACAATTGAATCTACAAACAAAATGAACAAGCAGAACAGAAACATTCTCATAGATATAGAGAACATTTTGTTGGTTGCCAGCTAGGGGGATTAGGGGAATGGGTGAAAAAGGTGAAGGGATTAAGTACAAATTGGTTGCTAGACTGACAAACCTCAAAGGGAAGGGGGACTGGAGGGTGGAAAGAAATAAACCAAAAACTTATATGCATATATGCATAACCAATGGGCATAGACAACAGTGTGGGGAAAGACAGGAGGGGGCGGGAGTGAGGAGGACGGGGTCAATGGGGGAAAAATAAGGAACATCTGTAATACATTCAACAATAGAGATAAAAAATAAATAAAACAATTTTTTTTTTTTAAATGAAAGAAGGCAAGAGAGAAATCAGAGCATGGAGATCACAAGAGGGGAAAAACATGTCCTCTACTCACAGAAACAAGAACCTTAAAAATGTTTTTAAATACAGTTAACATGGTCTTTATAATAGTGGAAGGCCGAAGAAATAACCTCAGGTCAAGTCCCTGGTGACAACACTGCTGCTCAATCAGGCATCCGGGACCTACTGCTACACTTTAGAAATAGGCAAATGGTTTAAAAAACAGACCACTCAGTAGCCTGACAAATTATGTAATTGCTTATGAATTTCATCCCCCTCATTTATAAAACTTGGAAGGACTGTAACCAAGATTATAGTTACACAAACTGCTTGCCTTGCCTCATTCATCTTTATAGCCTCAAAATCTATAAAAAAGAGCCTGGCACATAACAGGCATTCAATCAATATTTGTTGGTCTATGAGGCTTGTTAGCTCTCCCCACTCACATCATGCAAAATTAAAGAAGAAAATACAGAAACAATAAAGCCTTGGGTTTAAAGAGTCACCCTATAGATACAAAATATAAGTCCTAAGAGAGAAACGTTCCCTTTACTCCTTGCTGAAGTTCTAAAGTCTTGAGTACATAAAAATAGAAAACCCTGGAATCAGGTCTATGCTAAAGAATTTTTTAAAAAATAAATATTCTATTACAAATATAAGTTGGTTTAATAGATAACTGATAATACCAAGTAAATATGTTAGTAATGGCCTATGGTTTTTTGGGAAGAAAAATTATAAAGATAAAAAAATAAATTATTTGTTGGCCTGTTATCGATCTGTCAGTGTAAAACTGCTTTCTAGAACTACAATAAGAAGTGAGGTGGAAGCACAGACTTAAAAGTTAAAAAAGTTACCCAGGAAAGTGGTCTCCCATGAAGACAGAGAAAGGAAAATCAAAGTATCACAGATATTTTAAGAATCCACTTAAATTGTCTGGTATATAATTTTTTAAAAATCTTTGAAAAGCATTAATATAAAGATTGACAGACCAAAGAGAAAAGAAAATAGACAAAAAGGCTAAGGGACATGGTGGGTGCTTTCAACTTACAGCTCAAGACATGCTGACTAAATTTAAAATAAAAACAGGAGGAGGCAAAAGATTTACTACGCAAATTAGGTCTCAAAAGTTCTGTTATAAAATTTTAAACTAATCACTACCTAGCATCCCCTCCTTTAATGGGAGGGGGAATAAAAATAAATACATGGACGAGGGGAAGAGAGAAAAAAAGACTCAGTATATATTTTTAAATATTCTTTTGATTATAATACATTAATATACTACAGAATAAAAACAAAATATATAGCAATTTTATTATTCTGACACAATCATTCTCAACATCTTGTTAATAATTTCTCTTGAACTTCTTTCCTATGCATCTAGTTTTTAGGTAACAGATTTACTAAATGTTGAATTTGATGATTCACCTTTTTAAATATGAACAGTTTCTATATAATCTTTATAATTACACATCACAAAATAAACAAACAGCAAGGTTCTATAAATACAATATTTTGAAGCAAAACACCTGCTTTTCATTGGAGGCTATTCAAGGTTCTTTTAGCTTTCTAAAAAAATTTTAAATATGTTTTTATTGATTTTTTTAGAGAGAGGGGAAGGGAGAGTGAGAGAGAAACATCAATCGGCTGCCCGAAACCCGGACATGTGCCCGATGGGAAATTGAACCAGTGATCTCTTAGTGCGTGGGACGATGCTCAATCCACTGAGCCACACTGGCCGGCAGTTCTTTCAGCTTTAATAGCAGTCGTTTATTCAGCATCATTTCATACACCTGAAACTCCTAATATTCATATTTATGCCAATTAAGTTCTTAATTATACACTTCTTTGTTCCAATGATTTCACTTTTCTATCCACATAACTACCAATCTTGAGGGCAGAATGATGTACTAGGCAAGTTAACCAAATAACATTTATATATGGAACACTTTACTACGGATGAAGTATCAAACAGTACAGAGTCTAAAACTGAACAGTCCACCCAAAAGTAACTCAAATTACTCACCAACTCAAACACATAGTTCTATTTCTTTAATTGTAACATTCAGGTCATGGTCATAATTAACATCAAAGTCTCCAACTATATTTTCTCATCAACTTGTTTTTCTCACATTGCTTCAGTATTTCTTGGCTATAAGAAAATAACTTTCAAAGCCCTAAATATATCAGAACAAAAGAAAAATAAACCAGAAATAACCGTCTCTTTATAACTCCATGGGACAATGCACCACTCAGAAGGTCCTCATAGTTAATGGAGTTAGTCTAGTGCCAAATCTAAATAAGGTCCAAGGAGTCTGCTTCAATACATAACTCTCCGGACAGACTTAACTTCCAAAATCCACTCCAAATGACTAAGACATGATATGGTCATCTTAGTGATACTTCGAGAAATGAGTTTTCTTATGCCCATGTGGATTCCCAATTTGTACCTCCAAGGACAAATAATATATATCAGTCAGTGATTTCCGAGGTACATAAGTTTAAGATAACAGGTGTGCCGAGTTATCTATCTTTTGATGAAATCATCAAAGAGATTGATAAAAAAGATGCCATGATAAAAGGTATCACTGAAAACTACTCCTACTCCTCAGGAGCAATGATTCTTTTCTGTTGGACATCTCTGATCACTCCCTTATCATCTATTTATGCATCATCCTTTCAATACACAAAAATTCCATATAAATTTTTATAAAATTGAAGCAATCAAGCTATCACATCAATTATAGTGCAATTTCTCTCCTGTTTATATATTTTGATTTAGTCTGTGTCACTGAGGCCTAAAACAAAAACCCCAAACATATTTATCAAGAAAAAAAATAATAAAAATCAACTCTAGATCATCCATGCTAAGAAGCGGACATACTCCCAAAATAATTTTAAAAGAATTTTTAAGTATCTATTTTTGGTTGCAGGTTCACTTTTCTAATTATGTTTTCACTTAAGTCAATATTCTTAAGCACACACCAGCTGTGGTAAGAGAAAGGAGGAGCCTGAGTGAATATAAAACACAAACTGAAGATGGCGGCGTAGGTAAACGTGTCCTCCCACAACCACATCAAAGTTACAACTAAACTACAGAACAACCATCATTCAAAACCGCCTGAAATCAAGCTGAATGGAAGTCCTACAACTACGGGATTAAAGCAGCAGCCACATGGAGACTGGTAGGAGGGGCGGCGGCGCGACAGGCTGGTCCCACACCCAAGTGTGGTGGATAAAAATCAGGAGGACACCTCAGCTGGGAAGGTCTTTCCTGAGGACTGAGGGGTCCCCGTCCCACATCAGGTGCCCTGCTCAGGGTTCCAGTGCCAGGAAGAGAATCCCCATAACTTCTGGCTGGAAAAACCAGCGGGAACTGAGGCTCAGGGAGGCTGAAGCAGCTGGAGCCCCAGGCAGCTCCTTAAAGGGCCCGCGCAAGGATTTATCGGACTCACTCCCTCTAAGCCTGGAGGGGAGGCAGCTCTCGAGGGGCACCAGAGACACACAGGGAAGAACTGAGCTGTTTGGCACTGGAGCAAGGGCTGGAGAGGGGGCTTTCTCCGGGACAAACATGCTGTCAGAGGCCTTTATTCCTTTGGTGAGCCCTTCCCTGGGGTGGGCAGACTGAAGCCATATCTGGGACTCCAGCAACCTGGCTCACACTGGTAGCCCCGCTCTGGTGATTCCCTGAGGCCCCGCCCCGCCCCACCCAACTTTCAGGCCCACCCAACTTTCAGGCCCACCCAACTTTCAGGCCCACCCAACTTTCAGGCCCACCCAAGCTGTTGCCACTTGCTTAACCATAGGATTGGCCTGTCTTGGATCCTGCTTCAGGTTTTTCCTAAATTCTTTCAAACGAGCAGCATCTGGTCTCAGCGAGCCCCATACCTCTTGTTAAGTAATACACAGAAACAAACACAGGGAGGCAGCCAAAATGAGGAGACAAAGAAACAGGTCCCAAATGAAAGAACAGAACAAAACCCCAAAAGAACTAAGTGAAATGGAGAAAAGGAACCTAACAGATGCTGAGTTCAAAATACTGCTTATAAGGATGCTCAATGAACTTAGTGAGAACCTCAGTGAACTTAGTGAGGGCCTCAAGAGCATAAAAAAGGACCAGTCAGAAATCATGGATGCACAGTTAGAATTGAAGGAGGCATTAACTGAAATAAAGAATAATTTACACAGCTTCAATAATAGAGTACATAAATCCAAGGAGCAAACCATCGATTTGGAATATAAGGAATCAAAAAATGCCCAATCAGAACAGCAAAAAGAAAAAAGAATCCAACAAAATGAGGATAGTGTAAGGAGCCTCTGGGACAACTTCAAGCGTGCCAACATTCGCATCTTGGGGGTGCCAGAAGGAGAAGAGCGAGAACAAGAAATCGAAAACCTGTTTGAAACAATAATGGCAGAAAACTTTCCTAACTTGGTGGAGGAAACAGACATACAAGTCCAGGAAGCACAGAGAGTCCCAAACAAGATGAACCCCAAGAGGCCCACACCAAGACACATCATCATCAAAATGCAAAAGGTTCAAGACAAAGAGAGAATCTTAAAAGCAGCAAGAGAAAGGCAGCTAGTTATCTACAAGGGAGTTCCCATAAGGCTGTCAGCTGATTTCTCAAAAGAAACTTTGCAGGCCAGAAGGGAGTGGCAAGAAATATTCAGAGTGATGAAAAGCAAGAACCTACAACCAAGATTACTCTATCCTGCAAAGCTGTCATTTAGAATTGATGGCCATATAAAGACTTTCCCAGACAAGAAAAAGTTAAAGGAGTTCATCACCACCAAACCGTTATTATATGAAATGATGAAGGGTCTTTTTGAAGAAAAAGATACATGAACAAACAAAATGGCAATGAATACATATCTATCAACAATGAATCTACAAACAAAATGAACCGGTAGAACGGAAACATTCTCATAGATACAGAGAACATTTTGTTGGTTGCCAGTTGGAATGGGGGTGGGAGGAATGGGTGAAAAAAGTGAAGAGATTAAGAAGTACAAATTCATTGCTAGACTGACAAACCTCAAAGGGAAAGGGGTTGGGGTGGTGGGAAGAGATAAACCAAAGAACTTATATGCATAACCAATGGACACAGACAATAGTGTGGGAAAAGGCGGGAGGGGGGCGGGAGTGGGGAGGAAGGGGGTCAATGGGGGAAAAATGTGGAACATCTGTAATACATTTTACATTCAACAATAAAGATTTAAAAAAAAAGAAAGAAAAAAAACAGTAAAAAAAAACACAAACTGAGAACAAGCTAGGATAAAATACTGACTTCTCATGATCTCATAACTCACAGCAAAATGTAGCTAAGCAAGTAATGCCTACCCTTCCTCTATCCAATCTTAGTTGCCAATTCCTAAGTATTTCAAAATAATTTTTTTTAAATCAGTATTTAAGTACCACTAACCACTATAAACTTTGAAGATGAAGAGTGTAATCAACTCATTCGTTTAAAGCAGTGTTTAAGGAATCATGGACTCATTTGAAAATCAGCTAAAAGAAGCAATAATCAATTTTACATACAACCTGGTTGGGGAGTGACAGGTGATCATAGCCACAAAAAGACATCCATGCACCATCTCAGAAAGGTTAAAAACAAGATTCCAAAGAAATACTGTGAAAATCAAACTTGATATATGCCAGAGTTCAAGGTCAAGGCAGTTGCAACCAAGCAAGGCTTTTTCTACCATACTATGTTCAGTTTTATAAAGTTTTATGAAGTCCCTATTGTCCTTACCATATTGTCCCAAATTTTTCCAGAGCCTCCACAAGATCTGCTTCCACCACAGATTCACAGAGTCCTCGAACATGAACAACGGGTGAAACAGAAACTTTATGATGACTTCCACCTGCCTCCTAGCAAGAGAAAATAATTTGTAATTTTAAACTTTAAAAATCCAAATGGCATCTTTTAGTACATTCAGCTCTGCCTTAAAAAGCAAACATTTTTTAAAAGTTAGCAAAAGGACCTAAAAGTAAAATCACCAATTAAACGTCTGGCATGAAAACTTTGATGTCTTAAAAGGGGGCATTCTTTCTCAATAAGAAGTAAAAATAACTTAATAACTTATTTTAACTTAAGAAAATCTCAGAAAAAAATTTCAGCAGATGACACAGAGCATGCTAATACTGGAAATACATTTTATACTCATAATTTCATAGTTTTACCTCCAAAAAATCAAAATCTCAAGTAGTCCAAATGCACAAATAGTCCCAATTTAAAATTTTTAACATAAAGATAATAAACTTTATTTATCCTGTAATACAGTAGATTTATATCATCTTTTGTCCTTGTTTAACTGGTTACCAAGTCCCATTATTACTTGAATTTACTCAACAGTACACCTGACAACTTAAATTTACACAAGGTACCATTCCTTGTTGATGAACAGGGAATATGCAGAAACAAAAACCTTCCAGGACTTCTATGGGGTATTCTGCATCTTTGAATATGCTCAGCAGGAAGTTTTAAAATGTAAGTATATGTTCTTATAATTTATTTTAAAAGGGACTATAGGAGAATTACTTTGAAAAGTAAAATAGCTCTCTCATTTACTTATTCAAATTCTACTAAACAAAGATTTATATTTACAGCTAGCCACTGGGCACCTCTCTTGCATCATTTCAGAAATGACTTCCACGTACAATTAATTCACGTGTGTGTGTATACATATATATCCCAAAAATCTATTAAATGAAATGTTTTTTTTGTCCTCCAATCAAACGAAACTTAAATCACTATAAAACTTAAGAATCATATTAAGAAAATCAAATCCCTTTATGGCTATTTCAAAAGACATACCAATTTTTTAAATTATAATTATTATAATAAAATTATTTTATTATAATAAATTATTATAATTTATTATTATAAAGTCTAGAAAAATAGACTTATGTGTTGCCAATAAAAAATTATGTCAGAGTTTAAAGGAAAGAAATGATTTAAATATGTAAAGTAACCATGGTACATGATTGTCACAGTCAACAATTTTATTCCTTTGCAAATACTAATTCAATCCTCAGAATTTCATTTGAATTACTCACATTTAGTCTCTTCTATGCTTACAGATATTTAAAATAAATCATTCTTTTTTTTTTTATCCTCACCTGGGGATATTTTTCTATTTATCTTTAGGTAGAGAGAGAGGAAGGAGAAGGGGGAGAGAGAGAGACACCGACGTGAGAGGGACACATCGAATGGCTGCCTCCCGCCCAACCCCGACCAGGGCTGGGTACGAACCATAACTGAGGCATGTGCCCTTGGCTGGAATCGAACCCGGGACTCATTGGTCCGCAAGCTGACGCTTACCACTGAGCCAAACTGGCCAGAGCTAAAATAAATCATTCTTATTTTTCCCTATGTAAAACAACATTCTCTTAGCAACCTTAACAAATGAAATCCGCCCTGGCCGGTTTGGCTCAGCGGTTAGAGTGTCCGCCTGCGGTCCCGAGAGACCCGGGTTCGGTTCCCGCTAAGGGCATGTACCTCGGTTGCAGTTTGTCCCCGGCCCTGGTTGGTCGTGCGGGTGGCAGCCACTCGATGTGTCCCTTTCACGTCGATGTTTCCCTCTCTCTCTTCCTCTCTCTCCCTCCCACTCTGTCTGTACAAAAAATGGAAAAATGTCCTCGGATGAGGATAAAAAAAAAAAAAAAATGAAATCCTGCCTACATGAAATTCAACAACAAAATGCACATTATCACAATTAAGCTCTTAAATATAACTGGACAACAATATTGTAGGAAGAGAGCACTAAATAAAACCAAAAACCTGAATTCAGATCTACATTTAAAATATAAATAACAAGTTTTATTCTAAAAATAATTAGACAATAATAAAAAGCAAGAAATAAGATAGTCATCTCCATTGAGCCTTAGAAATCAGCTGGCAAAGGTAAAATGCAAAAGAAAACTGATACTCTTCAAGAAGTTAGTATCAAAAAACAGTGGAAGAAAAATTTCAGACTGCAACTAAAAAGAATCAAATGCAATATATGAGCCTTCATGTTATAATAGATAAAAACTGCTGTAAAAGACATCCTAGGGACAACTGGAGAACTTAAATAGGATATTAGATTATATAATGTGATTACTGTCTTAGTACCATGATAATGGTAATGATATAGGAAAGAGTATCTCTATTCTTAGGAATAGCTGGGATATCTAAGGATAAATGTGATGTCTATAACTTACTTTCAAATAGTTTAGAAAAACATGTATGTACTCAAATACAGACATATATAGAGATAAAAATCCCAAATAACAAAATGTTAAAAACTACATCTTAATTGAACATTTTATACAACAAAAAGTTAGGAAAACATTTTATCATACAATATTTAAGACCTACAGAAGGGTACAAAGAACAATATAATTTACTACCCAGTCTAATAATGAAACTACCACTCAGTTGAACACATCTCCTCCTCCTACCTCCCTTTCCATCATGGATAACGACTATCTTGTATATAGTACTAAAGAACATAACTTTTTTTCAAATTGGACTTCTCACAAAGAAATGGATTACAGGACCAACTTAAAAATCCCTCAAAAGATCTGACTTTAATAATTATTTAATTATACTTCCCAAGTGAAACAGATGGGGACTCAAGCCATTCTATAAAAGTTGGAAAATACTGAATGCTATCAATATGGTATTTAGGAGAAGATATGATTATCTCAACCTCAAGGCAGAAAACATCCCATACCCCTTGTATTTCCCTTATTCCCACTCAATAAATTTGCCATTCATGATTTACCTACCTTGGTATTTCTCCATTTTAAATTATGTCTCCTTTTCTTGAATTTTAAAATTTCTCACCCTTTCTGTAGTTCATTTTAAAAGAAAAAAAACCCTAGGGTTGTTTCCAAATATAAAACTGGCATATTAAGGATATCTTTTCAAACTGTATTTTCACCCATCTGTTCTGCCCTCCCAAATACTTTTCTTAAATCAATACTTTCTTGGGACAAGCAAAGCTCTATAACCACAGCCATCACCAGGTTGGGTCTTGGTCCACCCTGGCCCATCATGCTTCTGGTCTCCTGCTGGGGCCACAGCCACCTCGGTTTCTGCCAAGGCAGCACACGGGGAGATGGTACACACTTTCCCAAAGCAGGGCCAGACCTGCGTGGTGCACTGCACGGGGATGCTTGAAGATGGAAATATATCTGATTTCCTCGGGGACAGAAATAAGCCCTTTAAGTTTATGCTAGGCAAGCAGAAGGTGATCAGAGGCTGGGAAGAAGGGGTTAACCAGATGAGTATGGTGCAGAGAGCCAAACTGACAGACTATCTCCCCAGACTATGCCCATGGTTCTACTGGGCACCCAGTCATCATCCCACCAAATGCCACTCTGGTCTTTGCCAGAGAGCTTCTAAAACTGGAATGACAGCCCTGGCCGGTTTGGCTCAGCGGTTAGAGCTTCGGCCTGCGGTCCCGAGAGACCCGGGTTTGGTTCCCGCTAAGGGCATGTACCTCGGTTGCAGTTTGTCCCCGGCCCTGGTTGGTCGTGCGGGTGGCGGCCACTCGATGTGTCCCTTTCACATCGATGTTTCTCTCTCTCTTCCTCTCTCCCCCTCCCACTCTACCTGAACAAAAAATGGAAAAATGTCCTCAGGTGAGGATAAAAAAAAAAGAAAAAAAAAAAAAAACTGGAATGACAGTAATGGCCTACTCCTTGAGCGCTCTGTTCTCGGATGTGCCACGTAGGGATCTGCTGGAGCTTTTCCTGATGTTCCACTATACTCTCTACATGAACATCTGCTCTGAATGTGTCCTTCCTCTTTCTCCTCGTGTGTGTGTTGCTCTAAACTATATACAATAAACCTCAAGTTATTCTTTTTTTTTTCATTTTGGGATGAAGATGCAATCTTTTGGATCTAGGTTTCCAATTAAGTATTAGTCAAGGAGTAACAGCACAAGTAATGGGTTAACTTCAGACTAGGAACTGGTGCGGGGGGACGCAAGAATCTTTTATTTTTGGATAATATTTTTTATCTACTATATAGTAAACATTCTTTTTTTTTTTATTATTTTTATTTTTTATCCTCACCCGAGGACATTTTCTGTTCAGACAGAGTGGGAGGGAGAGAGAGGAAGAGAGAGAGAGAGAAACATCGACGTGAAAGGGACACTTCAAGTGGCTGCCACCCGCATGACCAACCAGGGCCAGGGACAAACTGCAACCGAGGTACGTGCCCTTAGCGGGAACCGAACCCGGGTCTCTCTGGACCACAGGCCGACGCTCTAACCGCTATAGTAAACATTCTTGCTGCTGAGCTGCAAAGCCAGATTTGAGTTGCTGTTGAGGTCCAAATTATCTCCAAGTTGACTGATGTCTTTGGGTTGATTTAAGAGCCCTACCCGAAACTGAAGGGGGGAGGGAGAAAGCCCTTGCCTCCACTGCCCCATCACACTCTCCCTTTAAACCCTCTGCCTTTTAAAAGCAAATCAGTGATGTTGGACACTATAGGCATCTGTCCCTGGGCCAGCAGGAACCTCTGAAGCCTTCTTCATGGCTTGGTTCCCCACCCCATCCTGTGTGTGGTTTTCTTTCCTAAGATATTCAAGACTTTTATAGAGGTTCCACTTCCTAAATTTTAAGAACTTTAATTGAAAGTTTAAATTGAAGGTGCTGTTTGCAGACCGGAACCACCCAACAAGAGTCCAGCCATCCATGACAAAGCCTTAAATGTTGTCTTAAGAAAATGATGTGTGTGGGTGGGGGGGGCGGATCAGTGGAGAAAGAAAGGGGGGGACACCTATTATACTTTCAATAAAGATGAATTTTAAAAAATAATATATATGAAAGAAAATGACGCTATGCTGATCAACATAGCTTCAGCATCTCCTGCT